GTAACTTGTCTGTTCCCCTTCCCCTAATTCCCCAGCACTGTTCCCATCCCCCAATTCCCCAATAAAAATCTTTAAAAAAAAAAAAGGTCAAAATGGTAAGTTTTATGTTACGCATATTCTACCACAATATGAATTAATGAATGAGCAAATAAGTAAACAAATAAAAGAAATGAGCCCCTCTGGCCATTTCCCCCTCCCCTGGATGCAGCGCAGATATGACAGCAAGAGCTGGGGCAGCCATCACAGATTGTGCGGTGAAGCTTTATACTGAGGATAGCAGTGCGACAGTACAGATTGGTTCTCGATCCTGGTGCTTGGTCCCTGGACAACCTCGTGGAACAGAGCCACCTCTCTAGCCCACAGCTGCCTGTCTCCAGGCTGTTTCGTGAGAGACAAATACACACCTGTCTTGTTCAATGAACACTTTGGGGTCTGTTTGTTATAGCAGCTTAGATTGAACCCTAGCCAGTGTCACACGGTTGTAGTAGAGGAAGTTCTAAGGTAGCATCTTTACATGGGTAGCAATAGAAATTTGCTGGTCTCCTCTGTTCCCTGCATTCCCCATCCTCCTCACCACTGGTGGGAAAGATCTTTTAGCTGAAGGACACTTCAAGATTACACTGTGAAAGGTGAATAGTATTAGTGGATGAAATGTTTGTTTCTCTGTAAGTGTGCCTCTCCATAGAATTTGACCTGAGCCATACAGGATCACCAAATGCATGAATTCCCTGTGGCCCTTGCAGTGGCACCATTTGTGGAACCAGTTGGCAGGAACTGGGCCCCTGTAGGGCTGGCTGAGGAGGAGAAAAAAGGGACGAGAAAGGGGGACTAGAGGAGGGGAGCACCTATGGACCATCAGAGGTGAGCTCTAAATGGACTGAAAATCCCAGCCTAGATTTCCTTAACCAAACCCTGGCACCCATGCTCTAGCTGGGCTGCTAATGGCTCTCAGCTGTCCCCAGATCAGAGAATTGCCCTCGGCCAATGGGATCCTTTTCTCCCAGAGGATAACACCCAGCCCCAAGGAAACCCCCAACCAGAGTCAAGCTGACATGGGGGTACAAAAGGCCAGCCTCCTTGCTTCATGGAGTGCCAGCTCAGTGACACAATTCATGCTCCGGTGCTCTGTGAGATCAGGCTGACACTGGTCACCAGGGGAGCTGCATCCTTGCTTAGCATCCCTCGCCCACCCACCTTCTTTCCTGAAAGCTTTTCTCCTGAGAGCACTTTCTCAATATATCACATGGATAAACCCCCCCCCCCCCGTCTAAGGCTGGTTCTGGGGATCTCAACATAGGATGGACTTCTCCTGAGGTAAATGAATAACAATTTTTGTATACTATTGATTGAAATCTATGTGTGATTTTATGTAATTGGCTACTAGTAAGAGTGCATTCTTTCTAGTAATGTGCTGTGCTGGTATTGGCTTCCAGATCTTTCAACCCATAGTCAAGGGGTTATGCCATATTCACTCATTCACTCAGTCTTTCCTTTAACATTGAATGGCCCATGATATGCATAGACTGTGGAATAAGATCGGGTTCTTATGGTCAAGGACTTTATACTAGAGTAGGGAGGACTCTCATGTAACCCATAAACTCTACGCCAAGATAGAATAAAATATGAATGACAACAATGTTAAACACATACTTTTAGAATGTAGAGAAAGGAGTGTTGATTTTGACTGAGAGGATCAGGAAAGAAAGATATATGCGGTGGTAGCATTTCAACGGAGCCTCCAACGATGGTAACATTTTGGTAGCTGAGGATGCAAGGAAGGGCATTCCAGCAGAGGAAACAACAGATAAAAGGCACACACTCCTGGGGATTCATGTCTGTTCTCTGGAATACCTGGGAACCATCCTGCTTCCTTCAGTAAATTTGCTTATCTCTGCTCTGTCCAGTATGTGTTGAGTTGATTTGTTTTTTAGGTTTAACTCTCAGAAGGCAATATTATTTCCCTTATTTATGTATTTCTGGAAGGGCGCTTGCCCTTGAATTACAGCCCCAAACACTGATAGCAAAACTGTGAAGTGTGGCCTTTGGCAGCCACCAGGGATCTGCTAATGGTAAATGGCTGTAAGAATGACAAGAGCCCTGTCTGCCCTCTTTAGCCTTAAGATGGCACCATCTTCAGGCAGAAAAAGCCCAGCCTGGTCTCTACTTTACAGCCCCTCCCTCCAGGTAATCACTGCCTCTGAGTTTCAACCTACGCAGCTTGGACTTCTGCCTTTGAGCCTACCAGACACACCGCCGGAGCGCAGGCTCACTGCTACAACCCACTTCACAGCCTACATCCCGAACCGTTTTGCCTCAGGGACAGAGCTTCTTTGATTCAGTTATATCTGTATGGGCACTTAGACAATGCTTCACACATAGGATGTCAGTGTTTATAAAATAAAATTGGATCTACCTCCTTTGTCAGTCTCTTCTCAACATGAATGGATCCCAGTCAAGTTAGAAACATTTCTAAAACAGATGTATAGGACTGAAATACTAGAGTTGGCTATAATGGCTACAGGCCATGTGACTTTTTCCCTAGAGATGCGACAAAGCATAATAAACCAAAAAGACCCTAAAAGAGTGTGTTGTCCTGGGAAAGTCAGTGATTCACCCAGAGGGACCCTCTGAGCCTGCTTTCCCATGAGGGTTCTCTGTGTGTGCCCTAAGTATCCATGTTTGGGTTTTTATGTGATTTCTGGTTTGTATCTTTCTCTGCTTTATCACTTTTTCCATGCCTTTCAGTCACCTTGAGGCTTGACTTCCCTCATCATCTCAAATTCCGGAGACATCTGTCCCTTTCTTTATTCCCCTCTCTCCCTTCTGATTTTTATTGCTGATTAGAAGTAGGCCTAAATCTACATCCACACATAAAATGAGGTTCTTATTTTTCCTTATTGAGGTATAATTAACATACTAGTTTACAGTGTAATGATTCAATACTTGTATACGAGGTCTGGACAGTAAGTCCAGATAACACCCAATACCATATATAATTACAAAATATTTTTTCTTGTGATGAGAATGTCTCTCAACAACTTTCAAACATGCAGTACAGTCATATTAACTACAGTCTTTCTTATTTCTAAAGATGTGAGAGTAGAACCTGCAGTGGGAAAACTAGCTGAGTGGCACTGGTGTCTTACTCAGGACTCCTGTCTCTTTGCTCTCCTCTTTCACTCCACCTCAGAGAACTCTCTTCTTGCTAAACCATGTGGGTTATGACCTCAGCCCCTTCTCTTTGCTCTTAACTAAACTATCTCCCCTGTCCTAGCCTCTCTACGCAGTCTCAGCACACTCAAGTCTCCAGGCACTAAAAACCCTCTCCTGCTTTACACCGTCTTCCACTACAGCGTTGCACCAACCTTCTTGAAAAGTAGTTTGCACCTGTGCCTCCATTTCCTCCACCTTTCCTTCAAGAAATTACTTTGGTCCTGATGCCTAAACCAGGCAACCATGTCCATTAAACTTTGTTTCATTCCTTACCCCTTAACCTTGGATGTTTCTGTATCATCTTGTGCAGTCTACCATAGGTGCATGTTGAACTCAGTTCCCTCCCCTGTCAAGGTTTGGACCTCCCCGTGTCACTCCTCTCCTCTCAAACTCTAAGCCTCCTCCCTTCTCTGACTCCGCCCCCGACTGGCTAAAAGTGCCCCTTACTAAGGAAGCACAGAGGTTTTCTTACCCTCCCCTCTATCTCCAAGACCTCACCTGCCCCAGGCTCTGGGCAGTGTCTCAAGGTAGCAATGAGTTTGAGCTCTGAGGGGAGACGTTTTAATGCAAAAAAATGTAGCCTTCTGTGAGGTGCCCGTATAAACCTGGTTTTCACTCTTTAGCAAACAGGGCTACCTGGGCCTTGTTTTCCCTGTGCCTTTGCTATGAGACTTTTAGCCTGGCAAGCAGAATTTGGCCAGGGAGCGACCTGGGCA